AATCCGAAAAATAACCAAACAACCGAGCTGCCTCCCCTTTTGGGCAAAAGTGGTGTTTGTTGTGTCTGTGACCTGGCAACCGTTTCGGACTCTGTAACCGCTGCTGTGGTAACATCTTCTTGGGTGTCCATCATTCATTTTTTTTCAAGCCAGAAAGAAATTTCGCGGGCTCTCTCCGTCAGTAATGTCGCAAACGTATGGTGCAAAGCCCCGTGACGTAAAGCGGTGTAGTGTCGCAAAACCACGTTCTCTACACATTATCTTTTTATTCTCTTTTTTTTTTTTCGTTATATACATTTAGAGTTTGCATAGCAAAAACGCAAATGTTATATTAACAAATTATATTAAAATGTATATTAGCAGTAATAATAATAATAAAAAAGTTTATCACGATAGAAAAAATAGAGGAGAAAGGTCACGATAGACATGTTTCTCTCGTCCTCACGATATATATCGCCATATCGCCCAGCTCTACTGTGAGCTGTCTAATTCAGTCAATCTAAACAAACGAGCAATCATGAATGGATGAATGTGACTGTATTCAACATGTTTTAATGTAAGAGATATAAAAACAGTTTACCAAAGCATTGTTTTTGGCCTTGATATCACCCCTCTATGCTGTGAGAAATGATACATAATTAAGCTGTTTGTTTTGCTTTGAAAGATGAGTGTCACACTGCTTCCTGCTTTGATTAAGCAAAGTTAACAGATCTCTGACCCAGCTTTCTGAAGGACTGGTTTCATCAAACAGCTCTGGGTCTTGTCACTTTGGCAGCTGAGATAGTTGATGCTGATCTCACTTTGAGCTCATTAAGGAAATCAAGTTGTCGTTTTTATTACTTTCAGTAAATGCCAGTGGAGGTCTTTCTCTATGTTGCTTCTTGTAATATTAAGATGTTTAGTTTACAGTTTGAAGGTTTTTCTAAATATATTCCCTTTCATGTTAGATTTTTTAAAAATTATCCGATTCCCTTTCATGGATCTGCTTGTTGGGTTCAGTTTGTTCCTATTTGTTCCATTGCATGGCATCAGTTGTAAATGTCCTTCATGTAAACCAGTGTTTCTCCATCATTTTGACTCACAACCCCCAATTCAACATGCACTGCTGTCCATACTATCAGTATACGTGATCAATGGTCTCACCTTTATTTAATCAGACAAGCACTTGTGAACTCACTTCAGTATTTAGTCTCTATCTCAAGTGACTAACTTCCCGAAAAGACAGACGATGGTCGCTACATGCCATCGTTTTGCATTTAAAATGTAAACAAATAACAAACACTTTATTTTCTTTTTAAAGTCATAGGGAAATCATATTTAAATGTCAAATCATTCTGGCTTAAACATGTATATGTCATGATGGGTTCACTAAAAGCGACCCAAGAATGCAGAACACCACTGACGGACACAGGGATGAAAGTTTAACAGTTTATTTATGCACAAGCACACAGAATATACTGGTTCAGGTTCGGGGCCTGGATACTGGTTCACCGGAGTCTGCGTGAGAGATAGTTCAGTTAGCGTTGCCAACAGAGGTTTGATTTCCATAAGTTTACTGATTGTACCTTGAGGGTTCTTGAGGTTAGCTTTGGGAGAGTCTCTGTTGGATCTGGAGAAGAGTTCATCAGCAGAGTCCGTTTGCTGCTTCAGCGTCTCACGTCTAACATGAACAGACCTTGGTTTAGGGTTTCCCAGCTCTAGTCCAGAGCTGCTTGGAGGTTCTCTGTGATTCTTCGGGTTTGGCTCTGAGGGTCGGCTCGGCAGGTTAGCTCTTCCTGAGCTTTCACAGAGGAGGCACAGGTTACCTGGAAAACAGAGACAAGGATTAGAATCCAAGCTGGATTCAAAAGTCATCGAGTTACTCAGAGGATCTAGGCTTAAGCGCTGACCAACTGGAACAACACTGCGGCGTTGAGGCAAGGTCTGAAGACAGCTTAAGTAGTGGATCCTCTGATGATCTTGACGAGCTGCAGCTGTGCAGGAGGCTCCCTCAGAGGATCCAAGGCGGACTCTGCTGGAGAAAGGTGGAATTTCTCCAGCTCCCAACAGTATATAAATGTATTCTTTATCAGACGATATTGTCCCAAAATTTAGAACATTTCTATTAAAAAAAAAAAAAATCCTGTCTTAAAATCTTTTTTTTTTTCCCCTTTATTTTATGTAGGCCAGTTAGTTCTACGTCAGCCTGAACACCTAATTTCGGCCAATCACATATCAACGGTCATCTGTCAGTCAAATTTTTTTGGATATGTCGCAGCTAATATACGCAACAGTTGAAATAAGAATAATTTACTTTTCCATTGAGTTCTGTCCCAGTGTTCACAGGGATGGACGTCTGTGTCTTCAGCAGGCGTAGAGCTAACAGAACTGGCAGCGTTGCGAGGCAAGGACTCAAACATGTACGGCTGTAAGCCTTCTACATCAAACCAAGCTTCTGCTGCCCTGGCGTCCTCTTCCACAACATCTTCATCCCCGCTTTCCTCCTCTAAATAAAAAAATGGATGACGGAGGAGACTCATTCACGACCTCCGACACAAAACTCTTCTCCTCTTGTATGTTTCCGCTGTCCATAGCGTAGGGTGACCAAACGTCCGTATTTCCCAGGACATGTCCGTATTTTACGTCCTGTCCTGGGCGTCCCGGTTTTTATTTTAGAAAGTGAGGAAATGTCCTGTTTTTTTAATTACCTTCATTTCACCATTAAATTTACAGGCACTAGGGCACTGCGCACGGCGCTGCGTGTGACATAATCCCTGAGTCAGTGCGGGCAGCCCTGTTCTTAATCAGAATACAGATAGCGTGGCTGTCAGTACGCCAACAACATGTAAAAGCGCAAATGTATGTTTACCAAAGATTTACAAAAGAGTTTTCCCGCTTTCACACCGGGTCGAGACAAGTGGGAGGCCTTGTGCACAGTGTGCAAAGCAGGCACATATGTCTTGGTGTCCAATGGAGGTGCAAGGGATCTGAAAAGACACCTGGACACCAAACGTAAAGATATTCTATTGATATGTTTGTTCGTTTTTGGTACATTTTGAGTTGTTTTTGCTACACAAGAAGTATTTTTTGTTAATTAGCTCATTTGTTAATTTATTTTTTCCAATAGCCTACAGAACAGACATTATTTCGTTCATTGCTGAGGCTGAGTATCATCTGTTATTGGGAGTTGAGAGTCATTGTTAACTTTTATTGTTAAGTGAGGGATGTTTAGATGAGACATAATTTCTTTCGTTGTGCTATTCATTCATTACAGGAATTGTTAAGCATTATTAATAAATACATTTTGAATAAAATTATCATTTATTATTGGAGTAATTGCTTTTCACTTTTACTGAAAAGCATTTTTTAATAAACCAACTGTAAATATATTATGTATATATATATTATTGTAGGATTACGTAGGCCTATGTTAAGTGAGTGCATGCCACAGACATCTCTATGGATGGGAACAGAGATCCCCCCTGCCGCCGCCCCCCGCTCCAAGGTGTCTTGGTTTTACCAAATGAAAATATGATCACCCTACCATAGCGTTCCTTGACAGTGTCGTTTCTAAGTCACCAATTTAGTGCTACTTGGTCCCAATAGAATTTCCCATTGGGAACCTGCTAGCACTAAGTTGCTAACTGGTTAGCAAGATCGTTACGAGACACCGGCCACAATCAAAAAGCTTACAAACCTTCCGCCACAACAATCCCGTCCTCTTGATAATCGACCAATCGCATTCACTTTATTCACTCGTGTAAAGTCGTACACCACTCGGGAGAATTCAGAACTGCAACGGTTGGAAAGCCCGTTTCCCCACGACTTTAATGTAATCCACTTTACGACTTGAAATAAAAGGATAACACCGTGTGCTAAACTTAAACAAAACATACTAGAAAACAAACCATGTTTAATTTTAAACATCTACATTTCTTGGAGCTTTAACATGAAAAATAACTTCCTGGTTAAAAGAAGTTTTTCTGCAGCTATTTAATGTGGTGACTGGGCCTGCTTGTTTGAACGGAGCAGCTTCTTGACACCGAGGAGTCATGATCTGTATTTTGTTTTCATTTATTTTAGATCAGAAAATGTCTTTTTTTCTCAGATATGTGGATGCAAATGGAATCAGCTCATCCTTTGAAGCTCTTGACAGTGCTGTGTACTCTGTTGCTATTGACAACCAGAACTCTTCCAACACGGATGCAGAAAAGTAGCAATCTGTGATCAGAGGGGAGATTGAGCAGAGCGTCCTGCAGCTCTGATGACAGGATATGCGTGCTGAAGGAGGTGAAAGGCTGCCGTATTCAGTTGTACTTTTGTGGCCTGTGATATTTGGGGTAACAGTTATTGAAACTTTCAAACAGGCTCCTGAGGGCTCCAGAAAGGGAATATTTCAACACTACAGATTGGTGACATGTCTCACAGATAAGATTTAATCAGAGGAACAGGCAGATTTAGTGTATTTTGCAGAAAATGTGAATGCATTTTTTAGAGTAGGGTTGTCAAAAGTATCGATACTCAAAAAAGTATCGACACTGAAACGTTGAATCCGGATACAATACTCGTTTTTAAAAGTAGAATAGAGGTGCAGAATAGAGGACAATGCACTTTCAGAACACTGTGTGATTGAATAATTCTGTGCACTTTTCAGTTTCAGACTTTTTTTTTGTAAGAGGTGCAGCTGCTGAGAATTATTTTTGTTTGTTAACTGGTTTGGCTAGTGTCATTGTTATGTCTGCAAAGCATAGCCAAGGAAGGAACACTTCATTTTAATTTTATAAGTTTTTTTATCAAGCTTGCTTAATATTGTGCAAAGCATACAACCTTTATTGTATTTTATTTATTAATGGAAATATTTCTGTAGAATTTTGGAGTCTTTATTTTTATCCTTGTGGTATCGAAAATGGTATCGAGTATCGAATATTTTTCTTAGCATCGGTGTCGAGTTGAAAAGTATCGTGACAACCCTAATTTAGAGTGCTTTGTTCAAATCAGCCTGTATTTTCTTTTCATTTCAGAGCAAAGAGGTTGGAGCCCAGCTGCAGGAGGACCTGATAAAAGTTCTCAATGAACTTTACTCGGTGAGAAACCTCCGCCCCCCGTTTGGTTATCATCACACATTATGTGTGATTGTTTCTTTTAGGATTAGAGATGCCTTCCTTCGAATTGGTCTGATGCTGAAATTGCTCTTTCAGATTAGCTAATGCACCAATGCAGTATTTTTACAGGGATTATTCTCAGTAGTGAGGGATGATAACCCTGACTACAGAAGCAAAAGCATGAAAATGTATTAGTTTTCTGTCTTTTTTTTTATTTTTTATTGAGGGTTTGTTGAAATTTGACCCTAAAAACGTGCTCACTTCATATTACTTGGCATCAGTAGTATAGTGGTCCCTGGAGAAGTGGGTATACACTGGAAAAACTATCTAGAAATAAGTAAAAATTTCTTAAATTAAGTGTATTTACCCTTAATTTGAGTAGGTCAATGCGATAGTTTGTCAATAGATTGAGTATTTTTACTCTACACTTACAATAAGAGTCACAGCTCCGCAGTGAGATGTCGCTACTCGGACTCGTCTATCCGGAAGCCAAACGAGTAGAAGAGGAATATGAAGCTGAGAAGAGTTAAACGCTGCCTTGGCAATTTCTATAATTTTGTGCTGAAAGCCCTAAAAAGAAAAGGAGACGTTGTATTTGGACAAAGACATGGCTGAGCAAACTTGGCTACTATGGTCTGTCAATTTTACTGAAAAAACTGCATTTCACTCATTGCATCCCTGACATGCTTCTGTGTTTTCATCTGAGAGGAAGAAGAAGAAGAGCCTTTGTTTGTGCACGCCCACTGAGTAATTTGCTCACGACAGTCGACTGAATTTCAAACACGTTTGATTTTCTACTGACCTCATGATTCCTGATCGGGAGATGAGAGGCTGATCACCGCTCGTTACCCCCCGTACACCACGTGACTCACCATCAGGCTGAAAGTCGGCTCGATCAAAAAATTCTTGCACGACTGGAAAGTTAGCGCTACACTGGAAAAAAATCTAAATCTAGATAAGTCAGTTTTTTCTTAAAATAAGTGCATTTGTTCTTGGATTGAGGAGGTAAAAGATACAATGGAACAAGACAATTTACATAAAAAAAAAAAAACACAATTGCATTGTCTTATTTCAAGTGTATATTATCTAATTATCTTATTTTAACAGTAAAAGTACTCATTCCATTGTCAATCTATCTCATTAACCTACTCAACTTAACACTTAATTTAAGAAATTTTTATTTATTTCAGGGTCGTTTTTTCCAGGGCAAAAACATCATACAGTGTATGCATTGCTTAAGACACACTATACAAATTAAAACTCATTTGCACAAATTTACATTTTATGATTATAGTTTCTGTTAAAATTAAAGATTTTCCAAATGTATTCCACATTGAACGTATTAAAGGGTTAACATCAGAGTAATTGTTTTACTTTATCCCATGTGTTATAGTATCTGGCTCTAAATAGTGCATGATACCACCAAATGACTGAGGCCATCAGCGTGTATTCCTGGCTTTATGCTAAAGAAAACTATTTAGCTGTACTGTAGGCCAGCCAGGCCCATAAAAGCAGTTCTTATTCTCTAATTATAACGTATAGAAAGAGATAGAAATAGATTGCTCACATAGATGCATAGGGTGTTTTTCTGCTGTTCTGTTTGATGGTCTGAGCAGAACGGTATAATGACAGCTCTGGTGGTGGTCAATGAAATTCGGCTGACGCTGCATGTAGTAGGTGCTAACTTAAACCTTCACCGTGAGCTCACAGAGGCGCAGGCTATCTGAAAAACGCATCGATTAAAGCCTCAAATTCCTGCTTCCAGGTGATGAAGACGTACCACATGTACAACACTGACAGCATCAATGCAGAGTCCAAGCTGAAGGAGGCGGAGAAGCAGGAGGAGAAGCAGATGGGACGCTCCAGTCGACAGGAAGACAAGCAGACGCCGCGCTCCCCAGACGCGCTGGGCAGCATCAGGACCGAGGAGAGAGTCGTCCGCCGTTCCAGCGTGAAAAAGATCGAAAAGATGAAGGAGAAGGTCAGCTGGGGCAGAAGATTTTTTTGGGGGGAGGCAACATGTCTGCGCCTCATGAATGATATATGGAGGATGGCTAACCCTTTCTGCTGTGGCTGCACCTCGTCTTCCCCTTTCATCAATACTGAAGCGTCTCACATTAACACCTGTTACCCTCCACCTTTCCTTCACGCATCCTGCCATCCTTGTTCAAACATCCTTCCTTTTTTTTTTTTTACATGAATCTCTTCTGCTTTTCAGAGACAGGCCAAATACACGGAGAACAGGCTGAAAGCCATGAAGGCCAGGAATGAGTACCTGCTGGCACTGGAGGCCACCAACAGCTGCGTCTTCAAATATTACATCCATGACCTCTCCGACATCATTGATGTGAGTGGAAACGAGCTGTAACCCTGTGATACGAGCCGGTGTGTGTCCTTCGTTCCTCTGCTTAGAGCTTGTGCTGTCCCCTGGGTCCGTCTCTTCACATTAGCCTCAGCGGCTCTAATGAAGGCGGCAAAGCGGCCGTCCTTTGTCCGTGTGTCACTTTTGTTTCCAAAGGCTTCATGCCATGAGCGCCAACAGCTTCTTTATTAGCATTTATGTAGCTTTCTCTCTGAGCTGAGACACATGGGGTACAGAAGTGTAACAAAGTCTTGTATAAAAGCTTAGAGAGACTCTGATGGTTTATAGGTGAATGCTTTAATAGATTATTAGAGCGCAGAGCTGCGCCATAAACGCGACATAAAATGAAGGAAAATATTTTCTCCCCGACTTTATCCCCTACCCCATTATTTAAATGTAGTTTTTCTTTCCTTGCTGTTTTTCTTTTGTCTTGAATTCCGCATGTGCTTACTTTTTGTCAAGATCATTTTTTTTTAAGTGGGCAGACAGGAAGGGGATTGAAGAAGAGCAGGGAGGGAGATGCAGCTAAGGTCAAAGGGTCGGGACTGGAAGCTGTGACAGCCATGAGGTCTGAGGCCTCCATCCAGGACATGGTCTCTCTGTTCTCTATGCCGAGGATCCAGGATTAGTTTCTTTCTTTCTTTCTTTCTTTCTTTCTTTCTTTCTTTCTTTCTTTCTTTCTTTCTTTCTTTCTTTCTTTCTTTAATGGAACCTTTTTACTCCTTCCTTCCTTCCTTCCTTCCTTCCTTTCTTTAATGGAACCTTTTTACTCCTTCCTTCCTTCCTTCCTTCCTTTAATGGAACCTTTTTTCTCCTTCCTTCCTTCCTTCCTTCCTTCCTTCCTTCCTTCCTTCCTTCCTTCCTTCCTTCCTTCCTTCCTTCCTTCCTTCCTTCATATTTTATGTTTCATTCTCTTTCCTACTTCCTTCCTTACTTTTATTTGTTTTATTACAACCCTTTTCCTTTCCTAGCTGTTTTCTTTTCTTTCTTTCTTGTTCTCGTTTATTTTCCCCATCTACCCTTTAATACACACTGCTTTTCTTTTCTTGTTTCATACCCCTCTCTTCCTCTATTTCTTCCTCCCTTTCTTTCAAAACTTCCTTATATGTGCCCTTCCTCTCCTTCCTTTGATTAATTTAATTTTTACATTAGAAACAAGCAGCACACCTTTAATAGCAAAACCTCCCTCTGTGTGTCTGTTGCACCTTCTCTGCTCCTCGGTGTGAATCATGGCCGACTGCAGCAGGGTAGTCACCTAGCCAATCTGGTGTGAGTGTGTGAGTGGATGGCAGCATGCAGAGCTCTCTGTTAGCGCTCAGTGGATGCTGGGTCAGCCGGTTCATGTCAGGGACACATTTGTTTGTTTTCTGTTTATTTGATTACACCTCCTTTTTCAAGTAATAGCGAAAAACTTCTCTTCCAATTAGAAATTGAGGAGCAACACTATTGCTCTGGCTCATTTAGAAGGAAATTCGTGCCATGTCTGAAAATGGACACACAAAAAAAGGTTATGTTGTTTTTAACTTATTTCATTCCTTCGTTGACCTGAAAACGATGAAGAACCACAGAATATAACCAGAAAACCATACAGTAGTCGCCATTTAAAATGGCTCTTCCCACTCAAATGCCAGCCAAATGGCAGCCCACTGCCCTGCAGCTCCCAGCAAAATCCCTCCAACTTCCAGCCACTGTAGTGACCCCCTCCGTCTTGTTGGCATATATATATACATATATATATATTTTTTTTTTACTGTGGCTCTACCGTTTCACTGAATTACAGGGTCTGACCAGGGGATGACGCCTCTCTTTAGGTTTTAAAGTCCACAAATCACGACAGAAAGAATATTTTAGTACAAAGATTCATATTTACCTAGGAATTGTAGGGGACCAGCCAGGGGCACATCAAGGAAAGTGGGGACATTTTGAATGGCTACTTCTGTAAGATCACGTTGAATCAGGTTTCACACAAAAAATAGATATCCATCTGATGTTAAACAGAATGTTATCCTGATCAGAAGTTCATTCCCCTTAATGAAAACAGTTCAATCTGAAGCAACGTGTCTTTAGATCATGATGCTTCCATCCCTGTGTTTTGAAAAGCCACCATCTTGAAAAGTGTTACATTAATTTTTATTAGCGCTGATGCCATTTTTGGCCCCGATACCAATACCCGATACATGGCTGTGCGGTATTGACCGATACCGATACCAACTGTTAGAAATTAATGTCTGTGTATTAGGGGTGTGCAAAATAATCGTGATGATGATGCATCGTGATTCTAATTTTCACGATCTACTGCATCGATTCTTGATGCCAAGTATCGATTATTAATTAAAAAAAATGAATAAATAAAATTGCATGAATGGTTGGCGAACATCAGCCATAAACAAGTGCAATACCACTTCCAGTCCAGTAGATGTCGCTGCAAATGTGTTGACGCCCGCTGCCTTGTGTCACAAGCATTTCCGGCCGTGGGATACTGTGCCGAGTCATTCAAAAACAAAACATGGAGGAGAAAATATTGCAATGCATCGCAATAATTCAAGTATCGTGATGCATCGTGATAGAATCGCATCGTGGCCTGTGAATCGTGATTCGAATCAAATCGTGACTTCTTTGGCAATACCCACCCCTAGTGTGTATAGATGAAGAACTGCATACTACTTGGATGTAAAATAAGTGCCATCATGGCTTTGTCAAGCTGCTGCCTACCTTTGTGAAGCAGGAAAAAGACTAAAACAAAGTGAATCCAGTAGAAATTTTATTGCCTACCAGGAATGGGTGACAATAGTTGAATACAATTTTGGCTTTCAAAATGGTATCGGTGCCCTATTTGTTGGTACTCACTGATACCGATACCACTATTCTAGTACCCGATACTTGTGTCGCTATCGGTGCAACACTAATTTTTGTGTTCTTCCAACAATCCTCTCATCCCTACCCCCAATAAAAAAAAAAAAAGCATCCCCACTGCATGATGCTACCACCACCATGTTTCCCCATGTAATCAGTTAGGATATGCTGCATTAGTTTCTGCATATCTGGTCAAATACATTTATCCGTGCAGTAAGCCAGCAATATATTAACACTGTGATGCACTGTGTCACAAAGCCTCTGGTTGAATGAAAGTAATAAATAATATTTATTCTAGAATGAAAATTTTGCAGAACTCAGCATGTGTTGATAATTTTTCCTGTGTATTAGATTACAAACACTGCTTTACACCGGAGTATTAGGGCCACACATGAAGAGAAAAAATATTTTTGCCATGGCGAGATTAAACTCGACATGTCGACTTTAAAGTCGACATGTCGACATTAAACTCAACATTTCGAGAATAAAGTTGAAATGTCATGTTGAGTTTAATCTCGATGTGTCGACTTTAAACTCGCCCTGTCGACTTTAAACTCGCCATTTCGAGAATAAAGTTGAAATGTCATGTTGAGTTTAATCTCGACATGTCGACTTTAAACTCGCCATTTCAGGAATAAAGTTGAAATCTCATGTTGAGTTTAAACTCGCCCTGCCGACTTTAAACTCGCCATTTCGAGAATAAAGTTGAAATGTCATGTTGAGTTTAATCTCGACATGTCGACTTTAAACTCGCCATTTCAAGAATAAAGTTGAAATCTCATGTTGAGTTTAAACTCGCCCTGTCGACTTTAAACTCGCCATTTCGAGAATAAAGTTGAAATGTCATGTTGAGTTTAATCTCGACATGTCGACTTTAAACTCGCCATTTCAAGAATAAAGTTGAAATGTCATGTTGAGTTTAATCTCGCCCTGTCGACTTTAAACTCGCCATTTCGAGAATAAAGTTGAAATGTCATGTTGAGTTTAATCTCGACTTGTCGACTTTAAACTCGCCCTGTCGACTTTAAACTCGCCATTTCGAGAATAAAGTTGAAATGTCATGTTGAGTTTAATCTCGACGTGTCGACAATAAAGTTGAAATTAGTTCAAGAGAGCCAACCGCTGCACAGGATACATGCACAGAATCCAGAATGTTACGTTATTATTGGTAGGCCACCGCTTCCTGTGATGATTATACAGTTGCAGCACGTCAAAGACTACCTTCACTCTTAAAACGCAGACTGCAGCTGTGGAGCGCGGTTGCTCTTTTCTCCAAACTTTGGAATGTCGAGATTAAAGTCGCCACGATATATCAACTTTATTCTCGAAATGGCGAGTTTAAAGTCGACACGTCGAGATTAAACTCAACATGACATTTCAACTTTATTCTCGAAATGGCGAGTTTAAAGTCGACACGTCGAGATTAAACTCAACATGACATTTCAACTTTATTCTCGAAATGGCGAGTTTAAAGTCGACACGTCGAGATTAAACTCAACATGACATTTCAACTTTATTCTCGAAATGTTGAGTTTAATGTCGACATGTCGAGTTTAATCTCATCATGGCAAAAATATTTTTTCTCTTCATGTGTGGCCCTAATACTCCGTCGTACTGATGAGCTCTAGTCACGCAGACGGATATGATTTCATCTCAACTCTGCTGTCTCATCACTTCTCTCGTTATCTTTTTTTTTCTTCTTCTTTCCCCTCGTCCTATAATGCATGTGTGACAGTGCTGCGATCTGGGCTACCACGCTAGTCTGCACCGGGCCCTGAGGACCTACCTGTCTGCAGAGCAGAACGTAGAGACGTCTAAGCACACGGGTCTGGAAACACTGGAAGGAGCAGCGGAGAGCCTGGAGGCCAATGCAGACAAGCAGAAGCTGATGGAGACCTACAACAACGTCTTCTGCCCGCCGGCTCGATTTGATTTTCAGTCTCACATGGGCGATACGGTACGGATCGTCTTCCGTTAGCGTTGTCTGCGTAAAAGGCAAAGAATTTATTAGTGAAAAGTGCTGTTTTTTGTGTGTTTTTGTAGATGGGTGGGATGTGTGCGCAATCTCCTCTGGAAACCGACCTCAGCCAGAGGTGTCAGCAGCTGCAGTCACGCCTCTCCACTCTGAAAATCGAGAATGAAGAGGTGAGAAGCCCCGTTGATCTCGCCTTCATGCTCCTCCCTTTCTTTCTGGGACAGCGGGTTGATTTGTTTGTTTCCCCCTGCCGTCCCGTTTCCTCAGGTGAAAAAAACCATGGAGGCCACTCTGTCCACCATCCAAGACATGGTGACGGTGGAGGACTACGACGTGTCCGAGTGCTTCCACCACAGCCACAGCATGGAGTCGGTGAAGTCCACGTTCAGCGAGTCGTATCTGAGCAAGCCCAGCCTGGCCAAGCGGCGGGCCAATCAGCAGGAGACCGAGCAGTTTTACTTCACGGTTAGTCCCCAAAAATACAGAACCACGCAGTTTGAGAAACAAGCCTGGCCTCCATCTGATAAATCCACTTCATTACCCTAAAAACAGGAGAAAATACTCACTAGTGGTGATGTTATGAGATGAGCTGAGGCGTGTCGAATAATGGAGGGGCCTTTTTCTCGAGGCGTGATTCATTTATGGGAGGGGCCAGAATTGATGATGTCCGAAGCCTTGCTACCGTGATAGCACAAGAACTTTGACCGGCATTTAAACAGCCTCATTGTTCAATCCAGATGTGGGAGTTTGTAGGAGTTGCTTTCAGTTGGATAGAGTTTGGATAGATTCCAAAAATAGATTGGTTGTTTTTCCAACCAATCTAGTTGGTTAAAACTAGTTTAGTTAGATGAAGCAATGTAATGATCAAAATCTGAGCAAGCTGCTAGATACAGTTGTAACTTTAGTGCTAAGTACTATTGCTGTCTGTTGAACGGTTATTAATGTTGGTAGCTAGAGACTTCTAGCCTGTCCAAAAGGCATTTTTGATTTTTCTATCTGGATCATTGAAATGCATCAGAACACATTTTAAATTTGTTTCTTTTTAACTTTCACAAAAAATGTATTTAAAGCTTGTAACTTGCTTCTTTTAATCCCTTGTGATGTTAAGACACATTAAGAGAGATGGTGTTGAAAAAAGAGCCGGAGAAGTTTGGAATCGTTTTTCATTAATTCTCACTTTTATGTCTCCAACAAAAGCACAGAGATAACCTTGGGATATTTTCTTTAAAACTTTTGTGTAAATACTGTAAAATTAAGTGATGATGTCATATCAGCCCAAACCTTGATAATGTTATCTTTGAAAGCAAGCAAAAAAGAGCCCTGATGTGCATATATGGAGTGAATTTTGTTCCATTATTATAGAAAGTGCAATCGAGAAATTAAACTAAAAAGGTTTTGAGTTACTTTGTTGTTTTCTCGCATTTTATAAGATATGTATATATATATATATTATTATTATTTTTTTGTGATAATTTTTTTATGGTGTTTTTTCAAATTTCACTTTTTCAGTTTCAGTTTTTTACAGATTACATTCTTTTCAAATTGCATTTTACAGATCAAATTGTCTTCACTTTATGAAGAACCAGGGCTTGAATTGAAGTTTATCCGATGTGCAAAACACTATTTAACAAGAATGCAAGTCATAAAAATCAGTCTTAAAATAAAAAAAAAATTGAAAATATATGTTTTAGAAGTAAAAATGAAGAAAAAAAATATATTTTTTTTCTGAAAGACAAGCAGGTTTTTGTTTTATATAAGAATTTTTCTGGATTGCGTTTTGTTTTTTAAAATTTCCACCTTCCCTGCTTGCAACAACAATGATACAAAATTCACTCCGTAAGTGCAAGCTTTCAAACAGCTTTACAATCTGCAGCCACACTGACCCTGCTGCGTGGATGTATGGTTGTGTTATAGAAGCTGAAGGAGTTTCTGGAAGGAAGGAGTCTGATCACCAAGCTGGAGGCCAAGCAGGACCTAATCCAGAAGACTCTGGGCGAGAGTGAGTGTCCTTCATACCTTCTGCATATTGCCTCTTTTTCTAGTCGTGTGAGTCCACTGTAAAGCCTTATGTATACTATAAAATTGTAGGTGACTGCAGACAGGAGGCCTCTGATTGGTCAAATCTACATCCGCTCTACACTATGTATATTTCCTGTTTGGTACCCTACCGGTAGTTTTGTTTGTAAAGAAAGACTTGTAAAGTTGGACCCAGATAGAAGAGCGAGGTGCGCGAGAACGCTGGGACCCTTTTTCCACCTGGATCCCCGCTCTTAGTCGCCCTCATGTCCCTCCGTTGTCGCACCAACTTGCCCCTTCTTCCTCACCGCCTTGGCCGTATCTAGACCGTCAGCTAGTTCATGATTGCCCCTGTTACGTTGTGGCATAGAATAACATGGCGCAGACCATACTTCAACATTTGGCATAAATCTAAAATATCTGCGGCAAGCTCACTGAGACACATAGGATAACCAGCCCTTAAGGGGTGGGGGGGGGGGGGGGGGGGGGGTCAGAGAGATGGGGAATGTGGCACAGACACATCGGGGTCACAGCAGTGAAGCAGAAAGAGTTTAATAAATCTAATAATCACAAGCTGTGTGTGAGTTAAAGGGAAGGTCGCAGCAGCTCTGACCATATGTGGATGCAGCTGTGCCCTCCAACATGTCTGCTTGGGGTGTGTTCCTCCTGCTCACACATGTCACAGTTTCCACAGCCTCAGAAAACATCTTTATTATTATATCTATGTGTGCACCCTGAAAAGGGAACTTAATGTCCCTGTTTTCATCTAAAGCCATTTCCTCATGAGTCTTGTTCCTGTTATAAACGCCTATCTCTGTGTCTCCTCTATAAACCCCCCTCTTCCCTCTTCCACTCCCTTTCTTCTTCTTCTTCTTCTTCTTCTTCTTCTTCTTCCTGTTTCTCCCTCCTATAGGTCAGAAAACGGACTGTTGCCCTGCCAGGTAGGTGTGGCTAAGGAAGGAAATATGCTCTCTCACACACTCATAAATGTGCGCTTATACATCGCTGCCAGTGGTCTTTGTGGCTGTTTCTCAAACACATATGAGTCTGCTAGTACAAATAGAGCATAACAAGAGTCGTGCATATAAATAGACTTTCTCTGGTGACATAATGACAGAGTGCTGTTACCAATTTTTCTTTTTTCTCCCTGCATAGTGGAAGGAGAAATTCAACCGTGCGGAAGCAGGTAATTATGTGTCTCAGGGTGTTTTTGCTCTAAAATCCGACTTCTTTCTTCATCTTTTACAAGGGGAAATAAATAATAGCTGCAGGATTAACCTGCAAATTTGGGTTGTTATGTGACCTAGATGACAAATTATACACATATGGGGGGCTAAATGATCAAAGGAGACTTTCTAAGTGAAAAAAACTTCAGTTTGTAGCGCCCCCTGGTGGACTGTTCTGGAGTATTTTTACAGTGTGAAGATTAACCAGTTTAGTTTCTAGTGTTAGAATAAACCTTCATCCAATAGATTTCATTTTCTTTAGCATAAATAATAGTTTCCAATGTATAATCATTTGTAGCCAAACCTCCCTGGGTTTCTGGAAAAGCAAGACAAAGAGAAAGGAAAAAGTGTGGTTTCCTAGCAACAGCTGCACCCGTCATGTCTACCTTATGTCTGATATGTTTTACCCCCTAAATGGGTTCATCTGTGCAAATTGCTGTGCCAGCATGCATCATGAAGAAACAGACTGTGTGTGCGTGTCGCATTTTTTCCCACCTATTTCCAGTAATAGCTTTCTAATTTCCCTCTTTCAGGACTCAGGTGAAACCATTCCACTAATGGTCGAGAGCTGCATCCGCTTCATTAGTCGCCATGGTGAGAAAAACCTCCCTGTTAGGTGATAGGTTCAGGCCCAGCTTTACTATTCCCTGATTGGTTGTTGACTTTTTAGTCTGAACAGTTGGATTGATTCTGAGTTTGCTTAAGAAAAACACTTTGTTTACTTTGTATCCTAAACCTGTGAGAAAGAGAAAAATAAGCATTAGATCTGAGTTGGTAAAAGATTCATACAGTGTTATAAGTTTGAAAAAGATACCTAAAGATACCTAAAGGTATATATATATACATATATATATATATACACTCACCGGCCACTTTATTAGGTACACCTGTCCAACTGCTCGTTAACACTTAATTTCTAAGCAGCCAATCACATGGCGGCAACTCAGTGCATTTAGGCATGTAGACATGGTCAAGGCAATCTCCTGCAGTTCAAACCGAGCATCAGTATAGGGGAAGAAAGGTGATTTGAGTGACTTTGAACGTGGCATGATTGTTGGTGCCAGAAGGGCTGGTCTGAGTATTTCAGAAACTGCTGATCTACTGGGATTTTCACGCACAACCATCTCTAGGGTTTACAGAGAATGGTCCGAAAAAGAAAAAACATCCAGTCAGCGGCAGTTCTGTGGGCGGAAAGGCCTTGTTGATGCCAGAGGTCAGAGGAGAATGGCCAGACTGGTTGGAGCTGATAGAAGGGCAACAGTGACTCAAATAACCACCCGTTACAACCAAGGTGGGCAGAAGAGCATCTCTGAACGCACAGTACGTCGAACTTTGAGGCAGATGGGCTACAGCAGCAGAAGACCACACCGGGTGCCACTCCTTTCAGCTAAGAACAGGAAACTGAGGCTACAATTTGCACAAGCTCATCGAAATTGGACAATAGAAGATTGGAAAAACATTGCCTGGTCTGATGAGTCTCGATTTCTGCTGCGACATTCGGATGGTAGGGTCAGAATTTGGCGTCTACAACATGAAAGCATGGATCCATCCTGCCTTGTATCAACGGTTCAGGCTGTTGGTGGTGGTGTCATGGTGTGGGGAATATTTTCTTGGCACTCTTTGGGCCCCTTGGTACCAATTGAGCATCGTTGCAACGCCACAGCCTACCTGAGTATTGTTGCTGACCATGTCCATCCCTTTATGACCACAATGTACCCAACTTCTGATGGCTACTTTCAGCAGGATAATGCGCCATGTCATAAAGCTGGAATCATCTCAGACTGGTTTCTTGAACATGACACTGAGTTCACTGTACTCAAATGGCCTCCACAGTCACCAGATCTCAATCCAATAGAGCATCTTTGGGATGTGGTGGAACGGGAGATTCGCATCATGGATGTGCAGCCGACAAATCTGCAGCAACTGTGTGATGCCATCATGTCAATATGGACCAAACTCCCTGAGGAATGCTTCCAGCACCTTGTTGAATCTATGCCACGAAGAATTGAGGCAGTTCTGAAGGCAAAAGGGGGTCAAACCCGTTACTAGCATGGGGTACCTAATAAAGTGGCCGGTGAGTGTATATATATATATATATATATATATATATATATATATATATATATATATTACTGGTGTATTTAATGTCATAAATACTGTTTTCATTTATATATAAATGGTTGTTGACTGGCCGTATCTCTCTCTCTCTCTCTATATATATATATATATATATATATATATATATATATATATGTACATATATATATATATATATATATATATATGTATATATAGGGTGACCAAGCGTCCGTATTTCCCGGGACATATCCGTATTTCCCGTCCTGTCCCGGGCGTCCCGGGTTTTTTTTAGACAGTGAGGAAATGTCCTGATTTCACCGCGCACGACGCTCCGTGTGACGTAATCCCTGAGCCGCGTCAGTGCGGGCAGCCCTGCTCTTAATCAGAGGCTCTGTTCAAAAACCTGGCCTGCATCCTCCAAGGACACGGTCTACCTAGACTGGATCCTTCGAAGTCTTTGAAAATAAGGAGACCGGAAGAGTTTAGGCTGTGAATTCGAACAGGTCTACCCTTCGGCGGGTTTTACCGGCGTATGCTCTGTTGCTTAGCAACCGTGAAAGTTGACACACAAAGCAGGAAAAGAATGAATACCGAGGTTTTCAAAACTGTTTGTTTATTTATTTATTTTTTAAAAAGTTAAAGTGAACAAAGACTACACTCACAAGAATCCAGAGTGGAATAAAGGTTCCAACCACCGGGAGCAGGAACAAATCAAATCAAATGTAATGATAGAAACCTTAGTCAGTTAAATAACCTGCTGCTGTCATTCTGCACATCTCTGATGTTGCTGCTATTTTCAAATATCCATTACTGTAAAAATGTCCATAGCTGCATATTGGTTATTAATTCTCACGTTTTATATTGTTAAAACACTTTACAGAATTTTATTTTTTATATTTTAACTCTTCCCTATTATGTTATTGTTATACATTTCTCTAAGGTCCTCATTTGTGTGACCATTTTCAATAATCTTTCTGCTGCTGTAAATTTCCCATTGTGGGACAATAAAGGGATTTTCTATTCTATTCTATAAAAGGGTTAGAAATATATAAGTAAATCTAAACAATGTATCTACAAAATATATCGGCAAAATCTCTAATATTCAACAACAAAAAATACTTAGTTAAGCATATTGTGCAAAACAACAATAAAAAAATTAAAATCCTATCAGATTTATAGTCCCCACTCTGCAGATCTATTAGAATCTGTCCTTAAATTACAGCCAAACTCATTTACACAGTAACAGATTAAAACCTTTAGATAAACCAAACATTACCGCCACATATCTGACTCTATAACCATTAAAACAACTATTTTCAATAATTTCAGACGGAACTATTCACAGAGTTGTATTATATTAAACTGAACTTCAAATTTTCACAACTGTTCTGCGCCAAGTAACATTTCCTCTGATCATGGAGCAAATCCCGATGATGAGACATTTGTCCCCCCCCCCCACCCCACCCCCCCCCCCCCCCCCCCCACCCCCCGCTCCAAATGAAAATATGGTCACCCTATGTATATATACCCTATATATATATATATATATATATATATATACTGTTTTCATTTATATATAAATGGTTGTTGACTGGCCATATCTATATATATGTATATAAAAAATGCCAGTCATGTGTAAGTGTTGATGGCATAAAAATACATTAAAAGAGCATTAAAAAGCATTAAATAAGAGTTAATCCTTCCTGTATAAACCCTGTGTTAGCATCCCTCCATGAATGACGTAAATCCAGAAGGCGCTTTTGGGGAGAGGTTTTAAAGGAAGGCCAACCCCAACACACATTTTTTAACATGAAAAAGTCCTATTTCCTGGGTTTTCAAACCCGCCCTCTCCGCTTAAAAAAAAAAATGCACATGCACAACCCTGTACCCACTACTGAGAGGGAACGCCTATCAAAGGCGCATGAGAGCGTGCAGGAGCCCATTTGTCCTCGTACATGCCCTGTTCAAAAGTTGCTGTCCAATTGCATCGCTCATACAAGCTTAGTTTCCAAAAGAAGATTTGCAATTTTTCACTATGTCAGACTCACCACCGGTAAGTGAAAATGGGGTCAAGCACGTAGGAGGGCCTTGCGTATTAATATCACCAGAATGACTGACAATTAGGAGGACTACTTATTTTGATGATCCTCCCAGAGAAAGAACATCCTCCCTTATAGCTTTAAAATCCCTAAATCTGGAAACCAGTCCACTCCAGGACAGAACATCTAAGAATGTTTATGTGTGCTTTTGTGTAGGTCTGCAGCATGAGGGCATCTTCAGAGTGTCTGGATCTCAGGTGGAGGTCAACGACATCAAGAATGCCTTTGAGAGAGGTAACAGTCCGATCCAGAAGGATATGTCATTAAAAAAGCCGTTTTTGTTTGATATGTTACACCCGTTTCTTCGTCACTCCTTCCTTCACATATAGGCGAGGACCCGCTGGCTGGGGACCAGAATGACCATGACATGGACTCTATTGCTGGAGTGCTGAAGCTCTACTTCAGAGGCCTGGAGCACGCACTCTTCCCCAAAGAAGTCTTCCATGACCTCATATCCTGTGTCTGTGAGTATCTCATACTATAATCTCTTATAGATCACTGAAGTGTTTGTTTTTATCATTTTTATTTTTTTTCTTCCAGCAATGGAGAGTCTCCAGGAGCGAGCAGTTCACATTAAGAAGGGTCTGCAAAGCCTTCCAAGTAAAACCCTCATCATCATGAGATACCTGTTCGCCTTCCTCAACCAGTAAGTAGCAGCAGATCCAGTATAAATAAAGCTGGGCAGGAGAAAAACACTTAATGTTAATATAGTCAAAATAATGTGCAGTGGCTTCCCACAGTGGGAGCCTTAATCGTTATTCCCTTGAGGTTAATTACCCTGAACCCTCATATTCTGCTTAGCTGTTTCCCAGATGTGCTTCTAATAATAAAACTAGAACTGATGATTTGATCATTTCGCATCAAAATGTCGCTCCAAACTCTGTGGAAAGGTTAAACTGTTTTTATATTTATTACATAGATTGCCTTCATTAAATCTGAACACAATCGATGACCAGAACCCGTGATTTGTTCAAAAGAGTGTAGCTGCAGACCCGCACTGTGAGGACCCTTCATTTTAGCCCAGCACTGTCAGAACCGGAAGTTTATTCAAAGCTTTTCAAAGTAAAAGCGAAATAAAATAAAATCTAGTATACCGGAAATATTTCAAGTTCCCGTGTTTATTTCCTGGCCCTTCATTATAGAAATATTTTCATCTATTTATATGTTTAATGAATTATATTTTTAATCTCTTTTCAGTTAAACTGGATAAGGTTAAAAAAAATGCAAGAAAATGTCAAGATAAGAAAAAATAAAAAGACATCTCTTATGTGTGTTTGCAAGCATTACATTATTCAGTTTCAATTCAGTTTATATAGTGCAATTCACAACACATGTAATCTCAATGCACTTTTTGAAAGTGGAGAGGAAAAACTCCCTTTTAACAGGAAGAAACCTCCAGCAGAACCAGGCTCAGTGTGAGCGGCCATCTGCTGAGGCCGACTGGGGTTCAAGGAGACAGAAGCAGCCCATGGCTCCGAGCCAGCTCCCATGTCAGAGGACGAAGAGAGCACATCCAGCCAGTCACAGTCAGAGAAACAGGACTACACTGAAAAACAGGCCCATCTCCAACATCTATAAACAAAGGTGTTGATGGCAGCAGCACAGCTGATATTTCTCTCCAGGGAGCAGACAAGGCGAAGCAACAATGAGAAAAAGCAGAGGGAGCAGAACGTTAGAGATTAGACTAACATATTCTGCAGAGTGGGAGAATAGAGATAGAATGAAACAAAATGATGAAAAGGGGTCCCTATGTCCTCCGGCAGTCTAAACCTATAGCAGCATAGCTATAGAGATAGATCAGGATAACCTGAGCCACTCTAACTATAAGCTTAATCAAAAAGGAAAGTTTTAAGCCTAGTCGTAAAAGTAGACAGGGTGTCTCCCTCATGGACCAAAACTGGTAGTTGGTTCCACAGGAGAGGAGCCTGATAACTAAAAGATCTGCCTCCAACTCTACTTTAAAAATTCTAGGAACCACTAGTAAACCTGCAGACTGAGAGTGAAGTGCTGTGTTAGGAACAGAAGGAACAATCATTTAAGGCTTTATATGTGAGAATGAGGAGTTTAAATTACATTCTGGATTTAACAGGAAGCCAATTATATATTCTTTATTCTTTTAATGATGTTTGTGCTATATCCTTTGCTGCTGGACCACATAGATTTGCCAATGGAGACTGTGTTATTTCAAATTAACTTAGCTTTTTGTTCTAAAAGCGAATCACTGAGCCAATAGTTTCTATTAGTTTCAGTAGAAACAAAACATTAGTACTAATAAAAACGATACATCACTTTGAAAGTGTTTCAAAACACAAAAAATAAAGCAGCAATAAATAGGGATTTAAATCAGAAGTGATTAAAAGTTACGGTTTGGTTAAAACTCTTATACAGAGGGGAGGTTTAATTGGAATACAAACAATAGGATATATTTTTTCCTGTTAACACAATCTACTGTTTGACAGGCATGTAATCATAATACATATTATAGCTCGAATAGTATCGGGTTCGGCAGTGTTTAAATTCAGGTAACCTGATCGCACTGGATGTGAAAAAAAATGCTCTAATAAACCAAGTTCTAGAACCCAAAGATCGTGCTGCAACTTTGTCCTATTTGCAATGAGATTTCCACAAACAGAAGATTATTTTGGGCCTTCATACAACATCCTCTAACCTTTGTCACTATCAGTGTGGGCTGTCATGAAATGTCAAACTACAAGCAACGGAAATGAAAGTCTCCCATTTGATAATCAGCCTAATTTCCTCTTTTAGGTTTATTTTGATGGCCCATAATAGCATAGCTGCACCCAACATACCCCCACTGAAGCAGCTTAACTCCTTAAGCCCAGAGTGTCTTAGGAGCAAATTCTGCCTGAATATATATGAATTAAAGCAAGTAGAGCTCTCAAACTATCAATCGGAAATACAGTTGTTTTTATTTGTGTGACAGAAAGGCATTGAGAAATATTTTTCAGGTTGGACCACTATTTCAAATATCACCATGTCTGATTTACAGGTGATTAAACAAAGAACAAATGGAAAAAATGTAGCCTCGCCAAAATTTTGTTCCAAAATAAACACTGCAAAACACCATGAAAGCCCATCTAAAACTCTGGATAAACCCTCAGACTTTATAGATCCACATCTTGACTATAACTCAAGCTAAAACTGCAGAAAGGCATTTTTCTACTCATAAAAAGGGAATATGGAATGTGCTGATTTACATTATTGGAGACCTTCTGCATAAGAGAAAGCCTTTGTTTGATTGAAATTTACAATAATATCAGCACACTGAAAAGAAAATAAGATTAACAGAGCAAGCTTATGTAATGGTTTCTTCACCTGAAATGGTTACACAATCCCCTCAAACCCCTCCTTGGAAAGGTCTGAGCCTCTAGTTTCCATTAGGGGGTGTGGCTAAAAATGAAAATCTGTTGTTGCATTACTCCTGCAGAGTCACACATGTCAGGTGGAATTTTAACCTCTTACACCCTCAGGGGGTATAAATAAATTTCTGCCTGACAAAAACACACAAAAGTAAATCACTTATAGCCTCACAGCTATTAGATTTAAGAATAAACTTTTGGTACCTCTGTAAAGGTAAGATGTCATAGAATGGTTTTCTGGTGTCAGCACCATTGTAGCTTTGACCCTGCCTGAAATATTAGGGACAAAATACAAAATATTTTGCTTTTTTTTGAACCTCGCCAAAATTTTCTTTGAAATAAACAGTGCAAAACACTACCAAAATATTATTTATAGCACAAAAAAGTAGTACAGACTTTTAAATCTACCGGTAAATGTTGTGTAAAAATATACCAAATTTGGACTCAATCAGATGAATCATATTTATTTTAGAATGGTATTAGTGAGAAATTTCTTAGGCGGAGGGGCCATTTTGGTACATTTATCCAAAAATGTCACCAAACTGTGCCAAATGTGTTTTTTACATCAATACTGGGGGTTTGTTAAAATTACGAGGTCACGTAGCAGCTGGACCCACCGGTGGGTCCAGCTGCTAAATTATATTTGTTTAAACAGCTATAAAACAAAAAGTACTTGTGAAAAAATTATTATGAAAGATTTTGAAGCGCCATTTGAAAGGCGTGTGGATGAAACACCATGTGACTGTGTTTTGGCCATTTCTAGAACTGGATCAGCATACTGTAAGCAAGTGTCAGATGGGCCCTGTATTGGACCCGCTGGACTAAAGGGGTTAAAGATGCAAGGAAGGAAACATGCGTTACAGCATGCCTATGAAGAAAATCCTGGAAAACAAAAAAAAGAGGTTTTTGGGGAGAGCTGAGGATAGAGCTGCCATTTCAGCCCTCTGGGTAAACCGAAGAGCTTTGTGTGAAGAAAGCGGAGATCTGATTTACCGTCACCTCCTGTGTTCCTGCGTTGTATCCTCGCTCACCACAGTGTGCTGAGCGTCATTTAGCGTCGGCCATCCTAAACTTTGGAATCTGAAACTTTTTTATGAGGCCGATTCAGTTTGAAGTTGCTTCTTTTTTATTGATAAGCAATAAAATGCAAAGAATTTAGAATTTTGTGTCCATTGGATGTTACTTTTCGCATGTATTTGAATTAGATTTTACATGATGTCAAAAATTAAAAAGTTGAAAACACACAATTTTAGCATTGTACTTTGTCTCTTGAAGGTAGTGAATATATGAATGTTACAAACACCTCTGTCCCCTCCCTTCCCCCAGTCTGTCTCAGTACAGTGAGGAAAACATGATGGACCCCTACAACTTGGCCATCTGCTTCGGCCCCACCCTGATGTCTGTCCCCGAAGGCCATGACCAGGTCTCCTGCCAGGCTCACGTCAACGAACTCATTAAAACTATCATCATCCATCATGACACCATCTTCCCTGGCCTGCAGGACCTGCCAGGCCCGATATACACCATCCCTGGAGCAGGGGAGGACTTCTGGTGAGGACAGAACGCTAACGGGTCAAACTGCCGGGATGTTTTTGTCCAAGTCTTTTCTAAAGCACATTTTGGAGGGAAGGAGGGATTTATTTAAGGGCTGCCAGGGAGAGATTTGCTTGGCCTGTCTGTGCCACTCTGAGCCATGAGACCATGGGAATCAGCTTACTGTCCATCACATGGGAGATTAAAGCCGCGTCTGAGCAGATCAAGCAGCACACAGCGGTGCAAGCAGAGGCTAATTTTCAATCTCGGTCTACTAACAAGTCTTGGAGTGAGTTATAATGATCACTGACACTCAGTGTAACTGGAAAGGTTTAAACGATGTAATCAAACTGTTGATGGCTGTGATTTATTGAGCTCCTAACTTAGAAGTCCAGCCTTTTATTACAGAATAAAATGACACTTGGGTTATTTTGCTTCATTTAGGCACAATATCTAGAAATAAGTAAAACATTTTCTTAAATTAACTGTATTTACCTTTAATTTGAGTAGGCAAATGAGGTAGTTTGCCATTGGGATGAGTATTTTTACTCTCAAAATAAGATAATTAGATAATATGCACTTGAAACAAGACAATGAATTGTGTTCTCTTATTTTAAGTGTAAATTGTCTTGTTCCATTGGCAAATACTCTTTTTTTACCTCCTCAATCCAAGACAAATGCACTTATATTGAGAAAAAATTATTAATCTAGATTTCAATTTTTTCCAGTGTACTTTAACCCTGCTATAACTACAGTTACATATAGACTATACTGGATTTACAATGCTTTTATGCCAGTAGATTTATCAGAACAGGTACACTAAAAACTTTTATTCCTTCCTCCAATACAACTTTTATGTATTACCGTCTCAGTTTTTTTTACTGCGCAATAAAGTTTAAAGGGCAAAATCACAAAATCCCAAGCCAAAACTAATCAGCACTAAAGGGTTGCTAACTTATAAATTATTTTATGACCTCACCATTGCTTAATAAAACAGACTTTAAAACCCAGATGGTTCCTGAAAAAAACGTTCATGCCCAATTTTTCTTTCGATAGAGCCGTGAACTTCAGTTCGTCGTATTTATTTTTATTTGCAAGAACAAACAGACACAAAGTTGCACTGTTACACACCAAAAAAGATGTTTTTTTAGTTGTCTCAACCCTAATATCTTTAAATGATATTCAGTCCAGCAGATGCCAACATGGTCCCTTTGTGTTTATTTAGAATTCAGTTTAATCTGTGAAGGCCCCTGGGGTTATTCAGTTTATTCAGTTCAGGGCTGAAACAATTAATCCGATTAATAGTGATTAATCGATTATTGATATAATCATCAACTAATTTAGTAATCGATTAATTGTTAAATGGAGTGTAGGGACTGTAAAATATGCTTGTAGCTGACAGAGCAACCCACTTAGCGCAGTAGTTATATCAATATGGTAAAAAAAAAACTATTGAAACATTTTGCATTTAAGATGAAAAAATGTTTTCGTCCATCAATATCAGGCCCGGTCCACACGAAGTCAAAACGAACACGAAACGCTAATATTTTCCAGAACGTTTGTCGTAAAGACGGAGACGTAAAATAAATGTGATCGACCACACGAATGCATGAAAACGCAGCAAAATGTATGCCAGGCCTGTAAGTGGCGCTGTGGTGCCAAAGCAAAAATAGGCGAAAACAGGCAACGAAATGTTGGGCATGCGCAGTAATATTTATACAACAACCAAACCTGCGGGTCCATTTTCGTGGTTCAGTCAAATTGAGGTGATGAACTATGTCGTCGATATTGCTCTGTTCTTCCTGGAGATATTCCAGAAGAAGAAGATTCTGTTGTAAGCCCGACAGCAGGGTGAGTAGCATGAGCAGCAACCATTCAACACAGTACGGCGCCATTGTTGTTGTGATACTGTGTCGCGCATGCGTGTTTAGAGGCGACGCTATGACGCATGCGTGTAAGAAAAAAAATGCGGTCAGAGCTTAAAGATGGAAACGCGAAAACGGCGTTTCAAAATCTTCCCACTCTGAAGGCTGAATAAAAGAAAGATTGTTTACAGACCCCCGAAACGCCGGCTTCGTATAGATGAGAGGCTGGTTTGGTGAAAAATTTGTTCGTTTAGGCCAGGGTTTGACTTTGTGTGGACGGGGCCTCATTGTTGCACCATTGCCATTTTTTGGCTCCAATACCCGATACCTGGTTGTGCAGTATTGGCCGATACCATACCGATACTATCAATCTGAAATTGATGTGTGTGCCTACCTTTGTGAAGCAGGAAAAAGACTAATACAAAGTGAATCCAGTAGAACTTTTTATTGCCTACCTAGAATGGGTGACAATAGTTGCCTAAACTTTTGGCTCTCAAAATGGTATCGGGATCAGTGCAACACTAATCAATGTGCTCTATCCAGAACTCCTCAATTGGAAACGTTTTCAATTTCATGAAAAGTCTTCTTTAAGGAACCTTTGACAATCCGATTATTAATTAATTTGCTAAATAATCGTTAGTTGAAAATTCAGTCAGATCACACGGTCATATTGGTTGAAAGTTTTCTTACTAATGAAGACTAACTGATTGAATTAAATCATTAGCTTTCCAGGATTTGCTTCACCTGGATGAGCATGAGGATTGAGAAGATATTTGTACTATGTCATTCTGACGCCATCCCTCAAAGCTAGCATGTAGGAGGTTTTAGTGGAGAGGAAAAACTCCTTTTAGACAGGGAGACACTTCTAGTATAATCGGGCTCTGATGGAGATTCTATAATATAAAGTTAGAGGTTGAACTTACAAGTACTGCAGAATTAGAGAATAGACATACGGTGAAAAGTGGTCCCTTAGTCCTCCAGCAGTCTAAGCCTATAGCAGCATAATTATAGAGATAGATCTGGATAACCTGAGCCACTCTAACTATAAGCCTATAAGTTTTATCAAAAGGGAGGTTTTAAGTCTAATAAAACAGGGTGTCTGCCTCACTTCTTAAAACTGGTAGTTAAACATTAGTGACCAAAAAGCATGGTGAAAGTCTGAAGGAACCCAGCAGCAGTTCTGAGTGTTAAGGCTACAGTCTGCAAAGGTAAGTAAAGGCACCACTGAAAATCCACAGGAACATCCACCTATACTGACAAGACAAACAGCCAGGAGGCCCCTGATAACTCTGGAGAAGCTGCCGGGATCCACTGCAAAAACAGGGAGAATTTTGCCTCATGCAACCTTTAAAAGAGTCATAGCCTGTCTATCCTTCGTAGATAATCCTGAAATTGTCTTTAAATTCATGTAAAATGATTTTTTGGGACAAAAAAAATTAATGTAGCTGATTAAGTCCCCTCTTTATACCCCTTTTTTTTATCCCGAGGGTTCATAGGCCTATGGCTATTGTGTGTATGCGTGTTCATGTGGATGTGGTGTTAGCAACATTAGCACTTTCCAGGTCTCGTACAAAAACTTACACAAGTAACAACACTTACAGTCTGCCTGTATGTGAGGCCCTGACTGGTGGAAGAGTGGAGATACCAAGGCGGGCTAATGTTAGCATCTTTCCAGGATTGATATCAATGCAGGAGTATCAAAATCACGCTTTGAGAAGAGCGTGTTTTAACTGAAACCCAACACCTGCACACAGAGTAAAACATAGAGAAATCTGATTGGTGGTGATTCCTTTAAAACACACATATAAAAGCCAGCGAGAGGAGCAAAGCATGATCTTAGAGCAGGATAGAAACACCAGAAACAAATCGATGGGTTACAGTCAAAGCCTAGCAACTCACATATCAATCAATCGATCACTTTCTTTATTGTCAATTACAATTTACATTGTAATCGAGATTTCAGTGTCAGTACAACTGTTCATCACATACATCGCATACATTGGGATGGGTGGGGAGCTGAGGGCCATGCATGCCCCAGAACGCTGACTTGGGCGTGCTCTTATTGCTGCCCATGGCATGGCCCCACGGTGAGGCGTTTTCCTATAGCGCTGCCTATATTCTTTGGAAAGATAGGAGCCACACTGGGGAGGGTGGGGGGGGACATATGTCACACTTAATCCTCGACAGGATACAGTTTGAGATAGTCAATCTGACATATACCACCTTTCAGATCCTTCTATGGAAACAAATAAAAAAAACAAAAATATATCTTCATAATTAAAGGTATTGTGGAGGAGTTTTTAAAGGACCTGCACTCTCCACTTTGCAGATGCAAAAGCGTGCACAAGCCCATTTCTCCTCGTGCACGCCCTATTTAAAACGTGCTGTTCTCATAGCTCATACAAGTCCACATACAGAGGGGAATATATAGTGGACTATAGTGAATTCAGTTAACTGACCTTAACTGACCGTTCATAACTCCTACTCCACTGCGTGGTGCATACGCCATCTTTGTTATTAGTCGCCGCTGTCGGGTAGTGACAGCCTATGGCGGCAGTGGGCCGCTCTGACAGCAAATCCCATAATGCTTTTTGAAGAGAGATCTCCACGCAAAGCAATCTGGGATATATTTGCCTTTTGTGAGGCATTTCTTTTCTTCTCATACAGGTGCTGGTCATAAAATTAGAATATCATGAAAAAGTAGATTGATTTCAGTAATTCCATTTAAAAAGTGAAACTTGTATATTATATTCATACATTACATACAAACTCATATATTTCAGATGTTTATTTTGTTTAATTTTGATGATTACAAATGACAACAAATGAAAATCTCAAATTCATCATATCAGAAAATTAGAATATTACTGAAGACCAATAAAAACAAAGGATTTATAGAAATGTTGGCCAACTGAAAAGTATGAACATGAAAAGTATGAGCATGTACAGCACTCAGTATTTAGTTGGGCCTCCTTTGGCCTGTATTACTGCAGCAATGCGGCGTGGCATGGAGTCGATCAGTCTGTGGCACTGCTCAGGTGTTATGATAGCCCAGGTTGCTCTAATAGTGGCTTTTAGCTCTTCTGAATTGTTGGGTCTGGTGTATTGCATCTTCTTCTTCACAATACCCCATAGATTTTCTATGGGGTTAAGGTCAGGAGAGTTTGCTGGCCAATTAAGAACAGGGATACCATGGTCCTTCAACCAGGTACTGGTAGCTTTGGCACTGTGTGCAGGTGCCAAGTCCTGTTGGAAAATGAAATCTGCATCTCCAAAAAGTTGGTCAGCTGCAGGAAGCATGAAGTGCTCTAAAACTTCCTGGTATGTGGCTGCGTTGACCCTGGACCTCAGAAAACACAATGGACCAACACCAGCAGATGACATGGCACCCCAAACCATCACTGACTGTGGAAACTTTACACTGGACTTCAAGCAACGTGGATGAAGTGCCTCTCTTCTTTTCCTCCAGACTCTGGGACCTTGATTTCCAAAGGAAATGCAAAATTTACTTTCATCAGAGAACATGACTTTGGACCACTCACCAGCAGTCCAGTCCTGTTTCTCTTTAGCCCAGGCAAGACGCTTCTGACGCTGTCTGTGGTTCAAGAGTGGCTTGACACAAGGAATGCGACAGCAGAAACCCATGTCTTTCATACGTCTGTGTGTGGTGGTTCTTGAAGCACTCACTCCAGCTGCAGTCCACTCTTTGTGAATCTCCCCCACATTTTTGAATGGGTTTTGTTTCACAATCCTCTCCAGGGTGCGGTTATCTCTCTTGCTTGTACACTTTTTTCGACCACATCTTTTCCTTCCCTTCGCCTCTCTATTAATGTGCTTGGACACTGAGCTCTGTGAAAAGCCAGCCTCTTTAGCGATGACCTTTTGTGTCTTGCCCTCCTTGTGCAAGGTGTCGATGGTCGTCTTTTGGACAACTGTCAAGTCAGCAGTCTTCCCCATGATTGTGTAGCCTATAGAACTAGACTGAAAGACCATTTAAAGGCTTTTGCAGGTGGTTTGAGTTAATTAGCTGATTAGAGTGTGGCACCAGGGGCCATCAATTTTGAACCTTTTCACAATATTCTAATTTTCTGATATGATGAATTTGAGATTTTCATTTGTTGTCATTTGTAATCATCAAAATTAAACAAAATAAACATCTGAAATATATGAGTTTGTATGTAATGTATGAATATAATATACAAGTTTCACTTTTTAAATGGAATTACTGAAATCAATCTACTTTTTCATGATATTCTAATTTTATGACCAGCACCTGTACATTTCGTAGACACTTTTTCTCTTACCACCCTCGGCCACTTTCAAAGAACCACGGTGAGAAAGGTGAGCTTCAATGGCTGTCTGAAACCGTAGCTCACCACAGAAATCCGCCTGAAAGTGAGCATGTGCAAAAAAAGATAGCTAACAGGACGAGCACTTAGGACGGAAATAAAAGATTGTGCTGTATACCTTTATGCATGGGCGGTACTAGACAGGGGCTAACAGGGGCCAGTAAATCATGTCCTGGCCCCTGTTATGGCCCCTGTACTGAACACATAATGCTAAAGAAAAATGCACTGGAACAGACATGGTTACTGATAGGTCCTTTGGATCTATTTCTTTTTCTTTTCTTTTTTTTTTTTTTTTTTACAAATTCTGTTCTGCTAATTATTTAAAAACAATAACAAATAAAAAAATACTTGAATTTTTACAGCTGAATTTATCAGTTTTTCTTGAGTTCTGATTCAGATTTTATAGGAAATGGTAATTGTAAGTTAAATTAAGTCAAAAACGTGTTAAATTCTTAAATTATGAATGTATATTGACCTAATAGGACACAGAATTTGAATTAAACCTAATTGAATAGAAATGTCACTTCTTTCAGCTCTCTTAATATATTTGAATCCCTTGCTCTGTTTTGTATTTCATGCTTGTCTGTGCCCCCATGGAAACAGACTGGCCCCCTCTTGGCCCCCTGGTACATTTGGTCTAGAATCGCCACTGCCTTTAAGTCCCTGCTTGTGTCACGCAGCTCTAATAAGTCATGATTGATGTTTATGATTTTCCAAAGCAGTGTAAATGAAATGTTTCCCCTTATTTTTGAACATCTTCTGCTGTGTGTGTTTCTGCTTCAGTGACAGTCCACAGTGTGAGCCCCCCCTAGTGGAAGAGCCTGCACCCGATGCCGTCTCCGTCAGCCGCAACAGTGAGGACGGTACGTTTTTTCACTCCGTTTACCTCAACACTCCCTCTGCTGCTCATTATCTAGAAGCCAGCTTTCCTTAGTAACTCCGTCACTCGCTTTAACCTGTTTATAATCCCACTGTAATGCTGCGTCACTAACCAGCTATGCACTAACCGTTTTCTCCATCTCTCTTTCTTTCTCTCTCTCTCCTTATGCACCCTGGCTTTGTCGCTCCACCCGCCTCTGTTTGCCCACCTTCTGAATGTCAGGCACCTTGGCTGTTTCAGAGTCTGAACCAGTCGAAGCCGTCGCCCGTTTCGATTACACGGGCCGCTCCGGTCGGGAGCTGACGTTCAAAAAGGGCGCCTCTCTCCTACTCTTCCAGCGAGCCTCCGAAGACTGGTGGGAGGGGCAGCACGATGGAGTGTCTGGTCTGGTGCCGCACCAGTACATCATTATTCAAGAGACGTAAGATCTTGGTTTTGTATTCTTTTATTTATTACTCTTTTGACAGAACCGTTACTGATGTTTGCTGGGTTTATTTTTTTCCAACTATTTTTATTAACTTCTGGAGAGAAAATAAGCATCATGTAACCAAAACATCCATTTTCTGTCACGTTTATCCCTGCTGGGGTTACGAGGGTTGCTGGTGCCTATCACCAGCTGTCTACAGGTACACCCGGGACTGGTTTGCAGGGCAACACAGAGACATACAACCAATCACCCACACCCTAAGGAGAATTTAGAGAAGCCAATCAACCCAACAGTCAGAAGCCGGAGTACCCGGAGAGAACCCACGCATGCACAGGGAGAACATGCATACTCCATGCAGAATCAAACCCGGAACCTTCTTGCTGCAAGGCAGCAGTGCTACCCACTTATCCTCTGACCAGCCGTCGTAACCAAAGCATGAAAAAGCCAAAAAAAGGAGACTGGAAAAAAAAGAATCTAATTTAGAAGCAGATGGGCTACCCCACCCAAATAAAATAATGCGAAATTATTATAAGAATAAATAAGCTAGAGAAACAGTCCTCAAGTTGTTTTGTTTTGGGGTTTTCTTGCAACAATTTTTATTAATTAAATGAACCCCATGTTTTTGCTTACAGGACAAACAGTGGTCTGTTTAAAACATAAAGAGGGAAGAGGTCGAACACATGTTGAGATTTCTGACCAAACACCAACTGAAACTCATGCACTGGAAATCCCCGTTGCTAAGGAAGTGGAGCCTGCATGTGACTGGGAATCTAGTCTCCTTCCCCGCATAAACAGAGCAGACAGAGGTTTAGTGAAAGGCTCTGATTTTTAGATGTTTTCACTAATAAATAATTAAAACCTGCAGCTGTTTGCTTAAAGGAATAGTACACCCAAAACATGATTAGCCTTCATTTTCTACTCACCCCCATGCTGAACAACACTCTGGAGTACTTTTTTGATATCTCAAATGCATCTGGAGATCTGGGAGGCTTCTTGCTGTCTGCTGACATTCAAATAATGGAGGTCTATGGTGTCCGAGACAGAAAGGTCCATAAAAGTCCACAAAAAACGTGTCAATATTCCTCCATACTGCTCGTCCAATGTATTCCAAGTGTCCTGAGTGGGTAGCATCCAGAATTTACTCGAAACGAAGTCATTTAGAATGTTTTTAGAGCATAAACAGTAGTGTATAGGATTTCCTAAAAGCGCGCACCTGCGAGTTCACGATGCTACGGAAACCGCGGCAGACCAAACCAGATGAAAGTGCGCATCTTAGACAATGGATTTTTTTTTTATATTCAATGAATTTTATTTTTCATATTTTATATTTTCGAAGTTCTTTATTTTATTTATCTTCTCCAGATTGAGTTTTACTTTACACAAGCTAAGCTAAAAGCTGTTGTTAGCTGACAGACATGCTGTCATCCAGGTCATAGTCATTCCAAAAAAAGTTAAACCTTATGGACAAAGTACGTTCTTTTGAGGAACAGAATGTTCACATTTTGGACAAAGCAGACAGGTGGTTTGAGAGGGGTGTGACGGAAGCCATTTATGTCAAGAAAGAAAAACCAGCCTTAAACAGAGGGGGTGGACTCAGCTTTCAAAAACCTACAGTGCAGCGATTGAGTTGATTCCTTCCCGCTATCATCTCAACCTCCACCTCCAAACAGTGGAACAGAACATCTCACCTATTCAGCCAGGACAACAATTCCCTCTAATGACCCCCCTTTCAGAGACGTAGACGGGTATCGGGTATTGCAGGCTAAAAAAAGAACTCAAACGGCCCCCATTCCAAAGGGGCGGACGCATTTGTTCGGTTCAAATTGCACATTTTCTAAGCCAAAACAAAGCTTTGTTTTCAGTCCACTATATAAAGCCTCGAACTCAACTCTGTTACTGTCATATTGAATTGAAAAAGCTTCCTGGATGGGAAGCGAAACGTCTTCAAACTTGGAAACAAAGTCCAGTGGATTGTTTTTAACTTTGTTTTTGGAATAGCTGACAGACCTATATCTGATGCAGAATTTCATCTAGAATGCCTGAGTTTATAACTCCACCACCTCTCAACCTGCTGGGCTAAACTAATCTACTCTCCGATTCAAACCACAGAAGCAGACTGATTCATTTAGCCAGTGTTGCTTTTAGGATTTAGTTTGGGACTGAAACCTCTATATTGTTGCTCTTATAGCTGTTTTGGGGCCGTCGTCCTGAACTCTGTTTCTTCCAGGATTGTCCTGTTTTAGCTTCTGTGAAACTTCTGAGGTTTTTTTTCCTCATTTTCAGAAGCGAAGTCGATCGTGGAAGTCCAAAGCCTGATGTGGACAGCAGGGAGATGCTGGAGGAGAGGGTGTCCGCTCGGGGCAGCGCCCCCTCCCCCACAGGAGGCCATGTAGCTGACATCTACCTCGCCAACCTCAAGTGGGTCTTTCATCCACAGAGCACGACTATTTGAGGTGTTTGCGGTTCTTACCATGTTCTGTGTTCCAGGCTGAAGAAGCGCCCTGAGCACGGAAATGTCCGAAGAGCATTCAGATCAGAGAGCGACGGCACTGGTCCAGGAGCCAGCAGCAGTGGGGCAGGAGGTGCCAGAACGGCGTCTCTACCCGGTGGAGCTCAGCTAAAAGACTTTGGAGACAAACGTCCAGTCAGCGTTCATAACATCCTCAACTCTGTCACTCGACACTCTTCTCTCAAAACCAAGGTACGCTTCCTTTAGATCATCTTAAGGCTGAGATATATATACATATATATGCATATATATATATACTCAGAAACCAGGACGTCTGCATGTGTGCAAATGTGCCCCCCGCCCCTTCCACACTTGGATGCACCTCTCCAAAAGTGTAGGGGACTGCAGACAGTGCCGCAGACACTCTACATAATGTGTATTTCCTGTTTGGTGCCTTACTGGCTTGTTTTGTTTGTATGACCGCCATTGTGGAAAGATTGTGAAGATGGACTTCGCGAGAACGCTGGGACCCTTTTTCCACCTGGATCCCCGCTCTTTTTGGCCCTCATGTCCCTCCGTTGTCACACAAATTTTCTCTCTTTAAAGGGCTGGTTATACTGGTTATGCATGTCCGCAGCAGTGTTAGCTAGTTAGCTAGCTGTTAGCTAGTGGAAGATATCACACAGATATTTTGGATTAATGTCCAATTTTGAAGCGTGGTCTGCGCTTTGTTATTCCACAACACAACGCAAGAGGGACAATCACGAACTAGCTGTGGATTCTGGGTGTCTGTGTGTGGGTTTTCCGCCGTCTACAACCCCTCATCCAACGCCGGACGACACACAGTTCACCTGTGAGTGTTCCCCAAAGTCTTGCCGTGTAGCTGCATGTTTTGGCTTCGGGTGCAAACCAAGAGACCGTCGAACAGAGCTACAAACTCGCGTCCTGCACGGTGTCTGGGATAGTGTCCAAGGTGTGCCAGGCATTGTGGACGGCTCTACAGCCAGAGTTTCTGCCATTAGGTACCAAACAGGAAATGCATGTAGTGTAGAGTGGATGTAGAATTGACCAATCAGAGGCCTGCTGTCGCCTACAATTTTGGGGGAGGTGCACCAGACATTTTTTCGGGAATCCCACGGGTCGCGGGATTCCCGTGGGATTCCCGTGGGATGGGAGTCAGTATTAGTAACGATCACGTGATTGGGACGGTACAGGATTACACATTAACGGGAGCAGACGGGAGCGGGTGCAAACCAATAGCTAAAAAAAAACTAGGATCGATGCCAAAAAATAAAATAAAATAGAAAGAAAAAATCCAGCACTGGCGCCGCCATTTTGTAGTTCTTTTCCTTGAAGTCTACACTATAATGCGAGTCAAAAAAACTACACGACCCAAAAACCTACAGTGCTTCCGCTCTGAGTTTTTCACCTGAGCTCAAAAACAACAAGAATGGGAGCGGGATGGGAGTGGGAGTAATTTCACCAGGAGTGGGACGGGACAGGATTTAGATTTCTACTCTGGCCCGGGATTGGGACGGGACACAATTTTTTTCTGTGGGAGTGGGACGGGACAGGAGTGAAAATCCACTCCCGTGTCAGTCTCTACACCAGAGTGTCTGCGGAAGGGGGGGGGGTTCTGAGGACAACCTGGTTTCTGAGCATAAACCAGGCTTTAGACTATGATGTTTTATGTGCTGAGGATCCTTTATCAGTTCCTCACCTTTTCCTGCTTCTTCATAAACTACTTGTAAGAATCTTGTAAGCAGAGTGAGAAGGTAAGCAGGTAAAGAAGGTTTTTAATGGAGGCCGTTGTTCCTGTTTAGGTTGAGAGTCCTCAGTTAAAGAAGACCACCCCTGCAGGACGCTCCAAGAGTTTCAGCAACCACAGACCCCTGGATCCTGAGGTCATAGGTCACGTGGAGCTCAGCTCACAGGTACGGCTCTATCTGCTCTGAAGCTTTGCTTCCCTCCATCCTCCATGTTTGCTCATGTTTAGTCTGCCTGCTGCAGGACCCGCAGGACTCCTCCCTGAGTGAGCTCAGTAAGTTTGAAAGACAGAGCACCTCCAAACATACGCACACCCCTGATGTGGTTCTGGACACACTGGAGCAGCTGAAAGGCATGAGCGGAGGCGGCGGCGGAGGAGGAGGAGCTTCCGAGCCCTCCAGCCCGCTCCACTCCCGGTTGCTGCGGGACGGCGATGGCGGCCCCTCTTACGTCCACCCGCTTCAGCGCAGCGCCTCGTCAGCAAGCGACGTCCCCTCCTCCTTCCGCCCGGCGAAGACTCCGACTCGGAGCCCGCTGCCATCCGCCACCTCCCCCTCTCTCTCGTCATCACCCCTTTCCTCCTCCGTACCGTCCTTCAGGGAGATGCGACCGCCGGCCACCAGACCGAAGCCTGTGGTGTTCCCCAAGGGTGGAGGAGGCACGGGAAGCCCCGCCATGGGCTCTCCGACCTCCACAGTCCCTCCGACGCCACCTCCCCCACTGTTAGGACACACACACTCTCTTCCTCACACACCACCTCCTCCTCCTCCTCCTCAGTCTAATGATAAATCCTGTCCGGCTTAAGATTCCTGTATTCCTCCTAACAATCCTCACAGCTCTTTTAGTGCAGAAGCACTTCGGTTCTTTTATAACATCTACTCGCTAGCAGCATCTTAGGATTAATTGACTTTATCAAGAAGAGTGCGCCCTCTGCTGGCGGCTCTGATTTGCTACAAGTCAACTAGGAGGAGAAGCTTGGATTTTTGCAACAACAGTTGCTGGATATCCAGAGATAGGAGCTACACACTAGTTTTTTTGTTTTGTTTTTTGATTGTGTGTGATTTATTTTCGCATATGAAATAGCTTTTAAGTGCAGGTGAAAGTGTGACCTGCTCTACATTTAAAGAACAAAAAAAGCACTGTTTGTTTTTTGTATAATAGACACAAAAGGGTTCTTCTTTCCTCTCTCTTTTTCTTTTTTTTTTTTTAGGATAACCCTGTGAGTAAAGCGAGACGAGGGCGTTGTTTGATTCCTCAGAACAGACTGTGAAAGCCACGCTCTCACTTTGCAGAACCGAAACACACTGACTCGCTGCTTCAGAGGAAGGCAGATGGGACATTTTTTGAAATGAGAGGGAAACTGGGCCAAATATCGGTGCAAGTCACATGATCAAGAGCTTTATTGAACCTCTCTCACTCAGTATTTAACACGTTTTCATGTCTGATTGCGTAACATGAACTTAACACGGCCGACAGTAAATCTAATATAGCAATAAAACAATGAAAGCAAAAAGTTTCTGCGGTGTGATGCTGCTTTACTGCAGCAGCTTTTTTTATTTGTGTTTTTTAAGGAGGGACCGTTCATACATTCTCTCCTGATGTGTGCTGGTTTGAGGCAGCTAAACGCCTTTCAGGTTTCTATCATGCATGCTGGCGCCCGCTAATAGAACCAGCTAGCCGATTAGGCGATACCAGCTGTGATATCACTTCTAGAAAAAACAGGATTACCATAAAAAAAAAAGGGTTTAAACACGCCGATCTTCTGTTTTCTATTTACTAGTCATGTTGATAACTGGAAGCATGCAGCTGCAGGTCTTCCCTGAGTGTGTGCAGATGTGAGCACAACCAATCACCTCATCTTATATGTCACCAAGTTAATATGTTGGGGGTTCGATTCTGGACTGTTATATCTCTCTGTGTGCACATCCATGGATAGAGAGCTTATGCACCTCCCTGACCCAGGTCTGCACGTAAATAAACGCCAACTGTAAGCAACATGGTGGAGACACCTTCCTCAGTATCCTGGAAATGTGGGATGTGCAGTTTGTAAATGTATTCATATTCCTTTTCCTTTTTTGTCACATTAGAACCTTAAGATTTAATGTATTTTGATGGGAATAAACCGACATAAAGTAGCTCATAAATCTGATGCACATTTCGCCCAAAATTGAAGATTGACAGTTTATTACATAACAAATTCCCGTTTAATCTCTTTAGCTGTTTTTAACGCAAACTTATAAAAAAATAGGTTTAAATAAACAGCTTATTTAATGTCAAGATTGTTTATTTAGTATTTCCAAAGTATTTTTGCTCAAAATGAATACCAAGGAGTTTATTTCTAATACATAAAATTGCATAGAAATCATGTTACCTTTATGCAAATAAACTAAATGTGTTTTTAACAAAAACGTTAAATAGTTTTAATTTTGATAAATACTAAATACTAAAATTTGACAGTTATGTATTTGAAATAAATACGCTTTATTAAAACAATGTATATGCACCGTGTAAGGGTTAGAAATGAATAAATAACAAATAATAAATGGAAATGTATTATCTGATAAATTTACACAAGTCTTAAAATGTGGGTGAAATATTTCTGTGTAGAAGGAAAATAGTGAGGAGATCCTACTGCCATCTGTGTAATTTCAGCTGTACTTTAAAGTAGTGATGGATAATTGTTGTTCATCATTACTGGAAAGAAAAACCTCTTATAGTAGAGTTTGGATTTTTCCTAATGGAGATGAAATTCAGTCGATGTTGTTTGCAAGATGCCATCATTTGTTATAAAATGTTGTTTACAACAAAAGTGAGTTGCTGGCTTTAAAAAGTCAAGTAAAGTGAGTGTACATTTAAGCAATTATTCGTGGAAAACGTGTTCACGAGGGGTGCTGGTGCCTATTTCCAGCTGTCTATGGGCGAGAGGCGGAGTGACCCTGGACAGGTCGCCACACAGGAAAAAGCTCAAATCTAGATACGTCATTTTTTCTTAAAATAAGTGGATTTGTTCGTGCGTTGAGGAGGTAAAAGAGATATTTTGCCAATGGAACAAGACAATTTAAATTTAAAATAAGAAAACACAATTGCATTGTCTTATTTCAAGTGCATTTTACAGTAGGTAATTATCTTATTTTAAGAGTAAAAATACTCATTCCATTGACAAACTATCTCATTTACCTACTCAAATTAAGGGTAAATAGACTTAATTTAAGACATTTTTACTTATTTTATAGATGCAGTCCATCACAGGGCAAAACAGAGACAAACAGGACAACCATTCACACACACTCACACCTAAGGCGAATTTAGAGAAGCCAATTAACCTAACAGTGGACTGTGGGAGGAAGCCGGAGTACCCAGAGAGAACCCACACATGCTCAGGGAGAAAATGCAAACTCCATGCTAAAAGACCCCTGGCCGGGAATCAAATCCGGAACCTTCCTACTGCAAGGCAGCAGTGCTACCCACTGCTCCACTGAGCAGCCCCAAAAGTGGAAAACCTTCTGGGTTATTTCTGTGTTTAATAGAATTAGTTTGTTCCTTTTCAGTTTTTTTTTTTTTTAATCTAAGATTATTTGGAGCCACTTTGTCTGCAGACCCGCTACAGGTTTAAAGCATTCCGTTTTTTGTAATTACAAAAAAAAAAAAAGGTTGCATGCACATTCCACCAAACCATGGGTCATTTTTGTTGCACTTTCTATTTTGAACCACTTTTTTGTTGGCTTATTGTGCAAAATCCCATTAAAATACACTGCGGCTGTGGTGGTAGCAGTAAAACAGTGAAAAGGGGTGTGAATACTTTTACCAGACACTGTAGAGGTGGTCAGAGCTGTTAGGAAGGCTGATATGTGGTCTCCAGTCATTGTAGCAACCCCCAAGCCCAGACCAGCTTTTTCTTATTAAAAGATGATGGTAAAAACAAAATGTATTCTTTTTTTTTTTTTGGTTTTATATCCTTTGCCCTTCCCATTGCAAAAAAAAATGATGTGAAATAATGAAAGAGTGTGAGCACAAATGTATATTTTAATCCTTTTTCTGTGTCTGTAACCTTTTTTTTGTTTTGTTTTAATCATTATTTGTAAAGTATTAAATGGGATCATATCATCCCCCAGCTCTACAGCTCAGTCTGCATTCCTGTAATAAACTGTAACTGTCAAGTCTCTCTGAAATCTTTGTACACTCACCGGCCACTTTATTAGGTATCCCATGCTAGTAACGGGTTGGACCCCCTTTTGCCTTCAGAACTGCCTCAATTCTTGGTGGCATAGATTCAACAAGGTGCTGGAAGCATTCCTCAGGGAGTTTGGTCCATATTGACATGATGGCATCACACAGTTGCCGCAGATTTGTCGGCTGCACATCCATGATGCGAATCTCCCGTTCCACCACATCCCAAAGATGCTCTATTGGATTGAGATCTGGTGACTGTGGAGGCCATTTGAGTACAGTGAACTCATTGTCATGTTCAAGAAACCAGTCTGAGATGATTCCAGCTTTATGACATGGCGCATTATCCTGCTGAAAGTAGCCATCAGAAGTTGGGTACATTGTGGTCATAAAGGGATGGACATGGTCAGCAACAATACTCAGGTAGGCTGTGGCATTGCACCGATGCTCAATTGGTACCAAGGGGCCCAAAGAGTGCCAAGAAAATATTCCCCACACCATGACACCACCACCACCAGCCTGAACCGTTGATACAAGGCAGGATGGATCCATGCTTTCATGTTGTAGACGCCATATTCTGACCCTACCATCCGAATGTCGCAGCAGAAATCGAGACTCATCAGACCAGGCAACGTTTTTCCAATCTTCTATTGTCCAATTTCGATGAGCTTGTGCAAATTGTAGCCTCAGTTTCCTGTTCTTAGCTGAAAGGAGTGGCACCCGGTGTGGTCTTCTGCCGCTGTAGCCCATCTGCCTCAAAGTTCGACGTACTGTGCGTTCAGAGATGCTCTTCTGCCCACCTTGGTTGTAACGGGTGGTTATTTGAGTCACTGTTGCCCTTCTATCAGCTCCAACCAGTCTGGCCATTCTCCTCTGACCTCTGGCATCAACAAGGCATTTCCACCCACAGAACTGCCGCTCACTGGATGTTTTTTCTTTTTCGGACCATTCTCTGTAAACCCTAGAGATGGTTGTGCGTGAAAATCCCAGTAGATCAGCAGTTTCTGAAATACTCAGACCAGCCCTTCTGGCACCAACAATCATGCCACGTTCAAAGTCACTCAAATCACCTTTCTTCCCCATACTGATGCTCGGTTTGAACTGCAGGAGATTGTCTTGACCATGTCTACAAGCCTAAATGCACTGAGTTGCCGCCATGTGATTGGCTGCTTATAAATTAAGTGTTAACGAGCAGTTGGACAGGTGTACCTAATAAAGTGGCCGGTGAGTGTATACTTTCTGTGCATAACTGGTGTATTTGGTGTTGCTCTTACCTCACAACTGGAGGGACGGTGTGCGTTCAGGACCACAACTTTTCACATGTGCGGCATAGACATGCATGCGGTTGGTGAAAAGCCGGCGTGGCGGTGGGTGGGGGGTTGTCCTTCTGTGATCTCTAATCATTGTGCACTCTGCTTGCATGTGGACTAACTGTGTGGGGACGATGAGTTGAATATTGTTGAATATGCATTTTACTGTGTGCGTGAATTTTTTTTTTTTTTGGGGGGGGGTAAAAATCACAGAACTAAAAAAAATGAAGACAGTAATGTCAAATCTATTTATAGTTGTCTCTGTATTACTGGAGAATCGTGTTCGGATGTATTTTGTATATACAATGTTGTACATTACAGAGGTACACTTTTTTGGTACAGTATTGTACAGCAATAGTAGTTTAATCAAACAGGCCTTATATAATTCTATGTGTAGTTCATCTTGTAGTAGATCTGTTTTTTTCTTTTCTTTTTTTTAAAATAAACATGGCTTGCTATAAGATTTGTCGATCGAATGAGACTCAAAGAATTCACAACCGAA